AATTTCAACTTGCATACATCTCTTAAAATTACCTTCTACCGATCTTCCTTCCCTGCACCGAAGTCTCATCTTTCAAGTTCCCGGGACTGCGATCTGCCATCTCCTTTACAGTTCCTTCCACCCCGAACATACAAACTCATAAGTTCCTCAGACTTCCTTGTTTATGCAGCAATGAGACGTCCAAGACAAAACCCTCAGCATGCGGTCATTTTCACTAACAGTTGATATCTTTTCTACAGTATGGATAGAGCCCTTCCAGAGACAAAAATAACTATTGGAACATCAACTCCACACCTGTGCCCAGAAGTGCATTCCACTTGTCCTCCTCTTCTGCCTTCACATCTTTTTTTTTATTCCTGAGGCCACTGACACTTTTCCATTTTACAGAATGATCCTTTAAGTAGAACCTTATTCTAGACCCACCAATCATCTCACACTGCTGACCACCTAATCTACACAGCCTTCTTGTCCAGAATTCTCTTAGCTCCCCACAACTACCATCCATGCCAGGCAACTGTTGCTGCCTCAGAAGCCACTCATTTCAAGAACACAGAGAGGGCAATCCAGCCATTTTATTTATTGTATTACTTTCAGGAAATGCAATACATTGGCAGAAATGCATAAGATGGACCAGTTGATTTTGGGGAACATGCCAGAGCATTTGAGATAAACGATCTGTACAAAACAACGGTCCACCATATTACCTCTCCCAACCCTGATTACACCTCATTACTTGATTACATTGCATTTCATGGAATCATGTACTTGAAAGATGTCAGAAACCATTTTTTTCTAAAACTTGGTTAAGTCATTCCCACAACAATAAATAGTGAAATAAAGTTTCAATCTCTCCATTCATTTACAGTTTGCTGCTTCCACATTACCCTGGAATTCACCCATCTCTTTATACCCATCCTTCACCTTGCCTTGAGACACTCTCACATTTCTGTTATTCATTTCTCCACACCCCACTCCTATGCCTTATATGTGTGTTCACTCCTTCTGATGACAGCTCCACAGCTGAGACTTTTTCTTTTACCTTTTCCAGCAAGGAATTCATCTGTTCACATAGAAAACTGAGAGTACAGTGAGAACATTCAAATTAAGCTGTGGAGTACCGAAGGGGTCTGTATTAGGACCTCTACACTTCCAAAACTATATTAATCATTCTGATACAGTTAACAAATCACTGAAGTTTTCAGATGATACCAAAATAGGAATATTAGTAGAAACTGCAAATGCTGAAAAGGAAGTTTAATTAAATCAATAACATTCAACACTGGAAGTTCAAACACCTGGCCGATGATATTGAATGTAGATTAATACAGAGCATCACATAAAGGTACAGTAGTAACATCATAAACTATAGATATAAAATGGGAATGTTCTTAGAGGTAATTAATATTTATATATCCCATGCATCATAATGACTACTGCTTGCTTTTAAATTGTTTTTTCAAAAGCAGTTTAAGTTGGCAATAAGTTCTATCTCTATTCTGCTCTAATTGCTTTTCTTTTTCTTGGAGTGATCTATAGTACCTACAGTAGGAGGGTTTGACTGCTAGAAACTGTATCCCAGAGCCCTTCTTCCCCTGCCTGTTTTTAAACTCTTACTTTATCAAAGTTCATTTAAATAAATTAACCTATGTCCTCTTTTCCTTTTGCTTCAGGAGTTGTGAAGGACAGAATATAAGATACAGGACATGCAGCAACGTGGTAGGTAAATGTTTCATAGATGGTACTGTATATTGGATTTGGATGGTGGATTGGATTTATTTTTAGATACTGTATTTGTAAATATTTTGTCATTTTTTATCATTATGTGTTGTTTTACCAGTTTCACTTTATTTCAAAAGAGTTAAACTGCAACAGAAAAGCAATAGAAACCAAGTAACTTCGATAGACAGTGAGCATCTGACCTCCAAGAAATTACTTTCAACTCACATAAAAGTGACAGGTTCAGTCTGCTTGCTAACATGGAAATGCTGTTGAAAAGTCATTTCAATTACCTTCTCTGCAAAATATAACCCAAACACATGGCAATTAAAAGTTACATGAGACCATGGGTTTGCTTAAAGTGACACACAGCATGAGATGGGCAGAAGATCCTGTAGTTCAGTTCTGAAAATAACAGTAGCAATTACCTATATGCATTACTTCCATATGATTTCATTATTTACTTAATGATTTCGTGAACCACAGCCTCATTAGCCTTTATGTCATCACAAAAGTATTGCTCAATGCTCACTTAGTCATGTGTTTGTTCCGGCCAAGGTAGGTAATGTATCATTACTCTAAGTTTATTGGTATAATCAGTTTGATCACAAAACCGAGTTTATTGGTGCAATCATGTCAAGAGAATTCTTGTCTGGTTCAGAAAGCATTAGATATGTTGGAATGAAAAAATGCCTTTCATGTGCTCGTGTCTCCCGGCAGAATTTCTAAGCTTGCAATTTATCCGAATGGAAGCCATTTAACCAATCTAACGAATACAGAGGAACAATACTCTGTAGTTTCAGAGTGTCAGTTTTAACACAACAAAGATGTGTTTTTTGGCATGAAATAGTAAAAATCTGATTCTTTAAAGTGTCACCAGGGATCGATTACAATAGCGTTCCCCTTTTTTCCAATAATTAGTTACTTTTTCCTAGCTGTCAGCACTGGTTTAAGTCTGGTCAGCATCTGGCCAGGGTGTGGCTAAACAAGAGAGGTTAATACTCCTAGGATACAGTCACATGTGACAATGGGGGCTACTACATTGTAACTGCAGATTGTTTCTGTTCAGTACTTATAAACATACCTAACCTAAGAGGATTGTTGTCACAGATTTAACATGCTCAATAATCAAATTGAACTCAGCCAAGAGCTAGAGAAGAGAAACCCTACAGTTTGTAAAGTACACGTAGACTCCTGCTGAACACTTAAATAATATTTATTTCTTCATCAGTGTCTTCATATCTTCCATATTGTCTCTGCAACATTCTGTACTATACTTCATATCTTCCACTTTTCTTTGTCAAACATTAAATATAATTGAGAAGTAGCAGCACGAATGGACCAATAGTGGTTTAAATGTCTCCCTCATGGAGAGTGTACTGCTTTGGGTGAATATTCAGATCCACTGCTGACAGGCTATTCTTTCAATAGAACTGAGTTTGTTCTACTTTTGAATTTTGTATCTGTATTTCCAGTACACCTTGAATATTAGGCATGCACACTGAATTCTCTCTACTTGTCAGGCATTTTCGTATTGAAAGTAATCCAGATGAAGACCTCAGGGGCAGTGAATATTATAGTAGTTTGATCATCTTCTGACAGTATGAATGAACAGTACTGATCCTGCTCAAATTAACTTTAAACTGTACTGTTTAGTCATAGTATGATTTTTTTTTCCATTTTAATCAATTGGGTTTTACACGGACAGATGTAAATGGAATGCACCTAAACCTCTGTCCATGTGGTGACCTGACTCTGGTCTTTCCTGCTGTTCCTTGTTCGGCCTCAGGAATGTCCCCCAGAGGCAGGAGACTTTCGGGCCCAGCAATGTTCGGCCCATGTGGATGTCAGGTACCAGGGTCAGTACTACGAGTGGCTTCCTGTCTACAATGACCCTGAGAACCCCTGTGCCCTCAAGTGCAAAGCAAAAGGAACTTCCCTGGTGGTGGAACTGGCACCCAAAGTCCTGGACGGGACGAGGTGCTACACGGAGTCGCTGGATATGTGCATTAGTGGCACATGTCAGGTACAGAGTCTCAGCTTCCTCCTTCTTGCCTTAACCCTCATTACTCATGCCCAGTGTCTAGAAACTACAGTTACATGACTCCAGTGAAGGAAAAAGGAACAAAAAAGCATTCTAGTGTAGCACAAACATATGTTTGGAAAGGGACAGTTTCTTTTTAATTGAAATCTGTTTAACTGAACTACAGTTAATTAACATGTCAGAGAACAGAAAATACATTTCATATCCAAATGACTTCCAAAAGTATTCACCCTTTTTTCCAATGGCATTCCATTTTGTTTAATGAAATATGATATGTAACCATTGTTTAAAGTGAGTCATTTTACCCTAATTTGAATGCTCAATATGAACTCTTTTCTGGGTGAACGAAGTCTAGTTAAGTCCTATATTTGCTCGCTGGTGTCTGATAAAAAAACAGTGAGTTATGGCGTTAAATATTCTCACTGAACTCTTAACTATGCTACATGATTTTTCTTTTTAAAACAATGAAATCTAAAATAACAACACAGGGAAGCAAAACATTTGTTTGGAAATCCATCAGGAAAAGGAAAGAGAGACATGGTCATGAAAATTGATCGATACCTGTAGTTCAAGTAAGTAGCTGCGTCAGCATGCGTAGGCTGCAAAGGAACAAGTAATAGGTTTATTCAGTGCTGAAAAGAGAAGAAAGGAAACACAACGTTTCAGCTGTGGAGCCTTCTTCGGGCGTGAGCAAGTAATAAACCTATTACTTGTTCCACTGATGGATAGCTACAGTACAACAATGTGGAACACACTCCTGCACTTAATTAAGATAATATAAGAAATATTCCTTAATGGGTTTCAAGGCACTGTAAAGCACAAAGTAAAACACCCCTCAAAGAAATATTTTATTGACATTTATTGCGGAGTGTTTATTACAGATCTCAGTATGTTAAGGATAGATTTATAGATGGCCGGATGCCTACATTTTTTGGTCTCCTGGCAGATTGTTGGCTGTGACCACGAATTAGGAAGCACTGCTAAAGAAGACAACTGTGGAGTGTGCAATGGAGATGGGTCTTCCTGCAGATTAGTCCGAGGGCACTACAAATCACAGCTCTCCACAAGCAAAAGTAAGTTGTGAAACACAACAAAATACTGCAAATTGCTGATAGTTTGTCCAACTGTAGAACAAAAGAGCAGAAGGAGAGAAATATACTCCACTTGTATGGTACTATACGATAATAATCCAAGACAGCAAAATGATCTTCTTCTTTTCCTTATTATTAAACTATTCTATAATATTTTCAATCAGTATTCTCAATTTATTAAGTCTCCGTACAGTATATATATATATCACATAAATATTATGTATTACTTTATATATTATATATTGTGAATCAGAATAGCTTTCTGCATTATGTACAGAGCCCAGTGTCTACTGTAACAGTTAAGCCTGTGTCTTTTCTCTGTCTTCTTGGTCGCAGCGGAGGATACAGTCATTGTCATTCCCTACGGAAGTCGACATGTTCGACTGGTCTTGAAAGGCACTGATCACTTGTGTAAGTCTTGGTAGGTCAAAGGGTGTTTTGGACCAGAAAAATACAACTCTGCTGATTCTGTTGGCCATGTTTTTTTTCCGTCAAGTTTAATTGGTTATATGTTTAAGCCTTGCCTATAGGTGCAATGGGTGGAACATTTTGCTTTGTGCTACATAGAGTCACACGCGGTGTTGCTTAAAAGGTGACGCTTCACCGGTTGAGATCAAACTTTAGGTGTCTCCTCTTTATATCTTCTTTCCCCCTTCATGTCATATGAGCATGACTTGCTTGTTATTCTGTAGTGTAAGTGGATGACCTGAGTGTTGAATGACAGGCAGAGATCAAAAGTGGAAAGTGCCATCTACTGTAGGACCAAAATTGTAAAATGGATGACCACTTTGACAAACAAATAAAAACTTCTTCCACATGCTGCATTAAACGCTGTATGGAAAAGGACTAGTCATATTGTAAATAGAGGTAAATTAATAAAATAAAGTAAGGTGTATGCCAAGAAGTGCAAAAGATGGTTCCAAGAGAGAGGTACTCATAACACGGACAACTAAAATTTCTCTTTAAGGCCTCAATGGAGAAAATTTGGTGATTTAAAACAAGAGGATATACTGTACAAAACTCTCCTTGAGATCCACACTTGCATCTGTTTCTTGAGAGTTCCAGTTGTCCCCAGTTCACTCACAACTTATGGCCTGGGACATAAAGCTCTTTTGGATTAATCAGTAAGGACTAAAATGATTCAAGCTATTCAATCACAAGCTGACTGCCATACAATGGAAATTCAGTATCTTCCAATCAAATTGAGACATCTACAGTAGGCTATTCACATGTGCATAACTGCATGTCCAATACACTTTAGTACTATAAGCTGACAATAACTCATATTTTGCACAGCACTGTGGGATATCTGCAGCAGTATTATGCTGTGTTAAAAGTGACTCATCTTACAAATCTTTCCTGAAAAAAGGAAATCCATGTATCTAGTCTGATAACCCAAAAATGTAATAAATAATAGTTACTAAGATAATTAATAATAATAATTCAAAATACAATTGTTTCCTTAAAATGCATACTCGAGCCATTTTAATAACCAGTTGATTTCTTCAATGTAATAACAGCCAAAATATGCTATGCTTATTAAATGTAGATCTATGAGGTTTAACATTTTTTTTTACATTACCCAGTAGAATCATTTCCTAGCTAATGGCTTGCATGACCAGTGTCATGATGTAAAAGGATTTGGCAGGAAACATACTTTTGGGTAAAATCGAGAACAAATGTTTTCACCAAGTTTTTCTATGATGCCAGTAAAAGGATCCATTCTGAGGTACTGCTGTAATTTAAGGACACAGCGCTCATTAAATATTTTACCATTTTTCTTAAAGAGGACTTTAAAATAGTAAACATCTGGACTGATAAGTTAAAAAGTTTTCTTTCGTGAAATCAGTTGTGGTTTGAAAAATACCTATACGTTAAGGATATATCTAGACAATGATCCTCTGAGATACATTTCAGTAAACTGTTTAGTTAAGTAAACAGTTTTATATTAGAAGAGAAATGTCCTGAAATAAGATTTGCGTATTATAAATGTTTAAATCATAAAAAGAATATTCTGCGTGGTTAATAAGTAGAACTGTTAAATTTCAAAATAGCTTGACAGTTTTCTAAAAACAACACTAGTATACACATGAATAATTTACTTTAAATTTAGTGTATGTTTAATTCGATTTTTTATTTTCCAGTTTTGGGGTTGTATTTTCTGTAACAGGAAATACTTAATGTGCTTGTCACCTTAGAACAATAATCCTAATGTAAGTGAGACCGAGGCCTCATAAATTGCCTTTGGTCATTATGGACCGGTTCCTCCTTTCCTTTGGTGAACCACATCAGATTAATACTGACGAGCTACTGGACCACAGAGAGGCAAGTTGTACCCGAGTCATTGTAACCTGAGATCACTGAGAACCTTCCTAAGCATGATCTGTAGTGAAATTATGACAGCTTTGACCTCAACTGACTTTCCCTCCCTTGCCCAGACAAAACACAGAGGCTAGATTTGGTCTCACTGTGCATTTTTATGAAATAACTGCTTGGATTCCAACAAGAAGAGCCTTGGACCTCAAACCTACCTGACAGAAGGGATTTGTAAAACTAGTGAGAGAGCCAGTGGACCTCGGCTTCTCCACTTATTCAACAGTTCTGGGATTAGGTGATCTGTGGTAGTTTTCTGTCCTGTCGCACTGGGTACTCCCAGAGCCATCTATTAAAACTTACTTGTGGATTATTTGTATAGTGACAGCCATGGAATTCTTCAATGGAACAGACGTAAAGGACCACAGCTTAAGTAGGACTGTTAGAAAGTATTACACTCTGATGTGTTCCACCATGAGCTGCGGGTTATATGTTCTGCCAAATATGTTATTCTCCAAACAAAACTGAGACTTTGGCCCAGGCTAAATCAACGATTTGACTCACAATTGCAAATCACAGACCTGTTTTTTTATTTCTCAAACTTGAACGTCTTGTATTTTTTTGAGCAATTCAAAATGTATTATTGATTTCACATTCTAAATATATAAACAACTAAACACCATGTGAAATGTGCATCAAATGAAACAACAATGACAGCTATTTAGTGTAATGTTTAGCGGTTTTAATCTGTATGATTTGTTGTAAGCTCCCTAAACTCTGTAGTTTGAAACCAATCATTTAATCAATTAGTAATATTTTATGCACATACAATTCTCTCTCTGCAGTGAGCTCTAACTAATTAAACTGCATCATATATTAAACTGCAACAAAATGTATGTTACTGCCTTCCTTCAACAAAATGCACTATTAGCATGAAGTGTATTCCAAATTAATTTATTCAAGAAGGAAGTAAAATATATTTTTAATAATTGAACATTAGTGAACATATATAAAAAGACTGAACCTTCTTGTGATGCCATGACTTGTGAAAAATGAATACTTTGCTATGTTTGCTTATCTGTTTGTGTTACATTTATCATTTCTTGTTTAGATTTAGAGACAAAAACCCTTCAAGGCTTGAAAGGAGATAATAATCTAAGCACGTCTGGCCCTTACCATATTGAGAATACAACCGTGGATTTTCAGAAGTTTCCGGACAAAGAGATCTTGAGAATGGCGGGACCACTGAGGGCAGATTTCACTGTCAAAGTAAGGGGATTGAAACACTTCTTTTCAACCATTGTATCTTTTATAGTCTTGGCTTATACTTCCTACATACATCATATAGGGTAACCTGTGGATCACTGTTGGAGTAGTAAATTACAACTGTATGTGATGCTAATTACGCTCAGGTTTTGCTTTCATGGAGTCATTGCATTTTAATGTAAGCCATTGGGTGATGAGCGATGTGTTTTTGAAAACAGTTTGTGATATAAAGCATTTGTGGTTAAAAGAATAGCACTTCCCACCTTAATGACTTACTTCTGTTCTCTGTAATACCCACCAATTAAGGATGTAGCTTATTTATCAAACCCAAAAGCAGGTGCTGCCTCAGTTTTCCGCCAGTGACTGGAACAATCCGAATGTGTATCCGAAGGCACTCTGAGTTGTGTGATCAAGTCTTTTGTGCCTGATATTTATTAACTCTGCCAGGTCCTGTCATGTTCTGTATTCTTCATGGATTGCTCTTCGCCTGTCTTTCTCTTCTTTGTCTTTTGTGCAACAATATTGGACGCCACTCAGTCGGATCATTGTAGATGAGAATTTGTTCTTAACTTCTTTATCTCACTTAATAGAGGATTTATCCTTATTTAGGAAAAAGTCAGAGGTGTATTTATGCTACATTTCCACTGCTCAGTTATTTAAGCATAGTTTCTTATTTAATTACATCATTTTCAAAAGTTATCTTCATACTTTTTCACTGTAATTCTTTACAGTTCTCCTATGTGTTGCTGGTATCATTTACTCTAAGACTTACTATGATTTTACTATACTGTGCTCCATTGCAGTGCACGTCTTCATATAAATACATTTTTACTTTGGATGTCATTAAATAAAGATCTGAAAAAAAACAAGCCCAGCCTTCGGGCGTGTTAAAAAATAATGCGGAAGGAAAGGGATATGTTTCTGACATTACAATTTTGTTAAATATTTTGTTTTGTTCTACTTAATAATACAGTGTCATGGGTACCAATGTACTAGTTAGCTAGCCATAGTATAGTGACAGTGGGGTATTGGTCTAATGGTATATGTAAAATACAGTAAATATATAGTGAGGTGTCCACACGGTTGAGATATGTTGTAGTGCATTCATTCAGTGGCTCATCACTTACTGCCCTATATACATTTCTCTGTTATTACTGTGGACTGCATGAAGACACAAAGCAGCCTGCAGAGAAACAGCTCACTGGGTGGGAGTTATCACTGTGGTAAATGGCGGTACCCAGTTGTGTAAGAGTTTCATGACACGAGCACCACTGTGATCCACATTCACACCCTGAAAATAAATCTTCAGTTATCACAGTGGTGCTTTTACAGACATTTTCCCTTTCCACATTACTATCACACTCAAGTATTCTGGCTAATGCAGCAATGTTCTTCAGACCATAAACCACCCCAAATACTGTTAAAAAATAGACTCTTTGAACTCCATCTACTCCTTTGCCTCAGAGACTTGATTTATCAGAAACCTAGTAAATGGCTTTTTTTCTGTGGTCAGAATAAAACGTTTTTCATTTCCCCCCTTTTCACATCTCTTTTTGCTTAATGTAATAGAAAGCATATTTCTGAATACAGATAATACCCCATTTCAATACAATAAGAAAGACTGGATCCAAGGTCAGGAAAGAGGCTGTTAAGTCATTACTGTACGCAAGCCAGGACGCTACACTGCTGTGATTATTAAACAATGGAGCTGCAGTAAAATGTATTTTATGACTGTTGACTTTTAAGCTGATTGTAATGTTTTTGATGGTCTAGTGCTGGCAGTGAATGATTGCAAGGCACTGTTTCGATTAGTTAGAGCCCCAGAGCCATTGAACGACTTAGTAATCCATTGTGTTAGTGACATAATGAATGTTCTCACTTTGTAGAATGGTGTTACATTTAGGTATCAAGTACACCTGTATGCCTGTCTTTCATGTGATTAGTTTCACGTGTGACCTAGAATTAATGTACTGTTACAAGTCTGATGTGGTACGTAATTCAAGTAGCTGGCCAGGTGCAGTTTTTGGCACAAGACAATTTCTTTCTCTCCACCAAAAATGGTAACCAAAATCTCACAGGACAGTTTACTGTACATACAGTAAATAACCTTGAATTAATCGCATTTACTGCACGTCGAAAATCTCAGATCGTTTAGGATGAACATTGGAAGGGATATTGTTATGTTTAGTGTATAAAATGTGTGACATTATTTGTAAAAAGTTCTTTTACAGTATGATTCGATAGCCACGTGTCGTGTTGATCACATGGTGCTTTCAAATCAGGAATCCCTACGTAGCTGATCAGAAACTGAGGTGCCTACCATTAGCTTGAATATAAGCATGTAAAGTGCCTGCTGCAGAGTAGCAGAAACTTTGCAGCTACCAATATGAATACTATTATCACACATTCTGTCTCTTCCAAACCAGTGTTATTCCTTTATGCAGTTGTGTATTGTGAAGATCGTCTTCATGGGCATCGATAGAATCTGTAAAGCACATTGATCTAACAGATTGATTATGTTAATTCAGTTCAAGCTTTATTATCCCCTAGAGGAAAATCATAGAGTCTGACACAAAATGCAACACAAATAACCACGACCAACAGAGAGTTCAGAACAAACAATATCTCAGGAAATGAGTTATTTAAGAGTACAATTGTAGAGGGGATGAATGATTTCCTAAGTCTATTTCCTTTGAACCCTGGGGCACAGAGGTGTCGCCCAGCTGGGAGTCATGCAGATTCACAGTGGAGGGGGGGTGCCACGCACTCCATAATGCAGTTAGCCTTCACTAGAACATTCTGGTTATAGAGATCATATACTGTAGGTTGATCTGATTTATCCCAATGACAGGGCTACTTATTTTCACAGTTGTCAGAAAATAATTAAATGACTGTAAGCCGGAAACTTTCCACAGGCAAAAGTGAAATCAACTGTACTGTAATGGAACTGTCATGTAGAAGGCACCTATGAGGGCACTTTGACTTCGTGTCCCAGCTACCTTTGGGAACTGAATGTGCAGTTTAGGACAACTATATGAGCAGCCACCACTGTAGAAAAAACCATGGCCTGTAGATATTCAAATAATTAATTTCTCAAAGCACATAGATGGAAACCACTATTAAGTCATTATCATGTTATTTACAGCAGTTATAAGGTGTTTCTTGTACTGTAGTGACAATGGTGGACAAGGAAAATAAAGTGTTAAAATAATAAAGTGATTCTGCATACATTTATCAACACAAATAGCCATGAAAAAATAATGTAAATGCTTAACATTCCAATACAGATCCCAAAACAAAAAGCCTTTGTAAAAAGAAAGAGAAATCAAAATGAAAACAAGGGTATAGGAAACATGAGAGCAATTCATTTTAGACATTGTATTTTGTAATGTGAGGGAGGCGCCCAGTCAATATGCAGTGCATCACAAATTTAGATGAGCTTAACAGTAATGCAGTACTGTACTGTATGTAGCACAGAAAGAATCTGGAAAATATATTTCCACTTAGCAGCCTGATCCCATCAGAATTCAGAAGCCAGGAAGGCCTGGACTTTGTCAGTACTGAGATGTAAGGTTTCTAAAGAAAACCAAGTTGCTGTTACTGGTGTTGGTAGACCAGTAGGTGGCGCTCCAGTATGGTGGCAGCGGCCTCTGTACTGAAAGAGAAGTCTTCCTTATGTTGAGGCATTAAGCCAAGATATTATTGGCTGTTAATGATTCACTGGTACTGTTCACAAGAGTATGTTTTTTAACCCTGGTGTTCTGGCTACATTGCAGTACATTATTAATTTAGTACGATATGGGCTCCCGAAATTTCACCTCAGTCACTGAAATAATTTCTAACTTCTCTGCAGTGATACTTTGTAGCCGGGCTGCTGGTACATAAGGGCTGTCACCCAAGTATATCACCCAAGTGGGTGCTGTACTTCAGTAATGGATTACTAGGGATTTTTCCTGTATGTGAAATGTTTTGGGATCCTTATGCATGAGTAGAATTTTAAAAATGCAAAAGGTTATTATTAAAACTACACTTTTCTTAAAAATTGATATTCTGTGCATATTTTCCCTCATTATCAGGTGTTCATGATGACAGCCAACAGAATCTCCATTGAAAGACTCCAGAAATCAAAGAAATTGGTAACTGTGGTGTATATATGGTGGTATACAGTATGTGGTGACCTGAAACTCTGATCATGTACAGTTCAGAGAAAATGTTTGTGAACCCCTAATTTAATTATATAAGTCACATATTGTGACCAAATTGTGACGATACCCTTGTTTACCCGAAACAGGTCTTCTCTGAAATGGCTAAAAGGGAAAGAGGAGTCAAAAGGACAGATGAGTCAAAAGTTGAACTTAAGGGCATGATGAAAAACATTTTGTGTGCCAAAAACAAAACACAGCCTTCCAACAGAAAAACCTCATCCCGACCATCAAGCATGGTGGTGGGAGTATTATGGTTTGGGACTGTTTTGCTGCCTCAGGACCTGGACAAATTGCCATCATGCATGAAACCATAAAATTCAGTATTGTATCCACAGATTCTGGCAGAGAATGTCAGGCCATCCATTCATCAGCTGAAGCTGAGCCAAAACTGGATCAGGCAGCAGGATAATGATCCTCAACATGCAAGCAGAGAAGGTGCCTTCAGTTACTGCAGCTAGGAGATTTCAAACTTATTTACATGAGGATATTTAGATTTATTTGATGGTGTTCTTAAGCCAAGTACTGTATATCTTTGTTTTTGTTTTATAAATTTATCCGGGTTATCTTGAATTTCATTTTCTTTATTTCAGGTATTATTTTATTAAGGAACAAGTAATAGGTTTATTCCATGCTGAAAAAAAGAAGAAAGAAAACACAACGTTTCGAACGTGAAGCCTTCTTCAGGTGTTCTTCTTCAGGCCTTCCTCAGACACCTGAAGAAGGCTCCACGGCCAAAACGTTGTGTTTTCTTTCTTCTTTTTTTCAGCATGGAATAAACCTATTACTTGTTCCTTTGCA